GAGGTTCACAAAAACTAGCTTCGCTTATTTGAAATAATTTTCAAGGAAATGCCCGTAGTCTCGCCCAGAGTCTCGAAACATCATTTAATTTTTATATCTTTATAAAGGCCAAAATCGGCACATTAGGTTGTCTCTCATGTTTCCTAACACTTGAGATTCTGGGATAGTTGTGGAAACGATTTCAGAATTCTGGATATTCTTCCAAATGCAGATATTCCACAAAATTGGTTTGACATTATTTAGACTAGTTGCTTATCCACAACTATTGGATATTACCGATCACTTCAATACGCATCTCGATCAATAGCACTATGAAATTACTTGTTTTCTAATAGTCCTCAAGTCCGTCATTTTCTAGTAGAATTTTAGATTCCATATCTCGAGTCGTATCGGAGCAATACTGCCGCTCAACCATAATTCCAGATAATTTATATATTATTCTGTTTCTAGTTGGTATGTCCAAGATTTGTAGGCATCTACCAAGTAAAGCCACCTTCTTCTAGTGTTCACTTGGGGCATCAGCCGCCCTTCAAGTTATTTCAGCCTGATACAAAACTGCCGAAGATTGTTAAAATGTTTTGTTATGTCAAGAAGTTCAGATCTTCTTGCTGTGATGGATATAAACCTTTTTGTCTGTCTCAGCCCTCGAGTGAAACTCCAATGAGTTAATCAGGTCTATGATGTATTCGGTCCTGTTATTTTAACGTCTGTGTTATGGTTCAACATCTATTGCTGTCTCTATTTTGACGTATAGAATAAACAGTAACATCTTTGTTTTGCGAGAAAACGTTCTTTCTTGTTGCCATCTATGCCATGATTTCCTGGTTTCCATATCAGGGTTACTTCGTTCCTCACAGCCAGTTGCTGGAGTATTTTTGCCTTCCCAAACCAGCTGCACTTGATAACTCCTAGAGTTGTTAAAGCTGCTTGATAGGATCCAACATATTCTGATCAGGGATCTTGCCCTCCCTTCGCTACGTGTGTCTCCTATCTGCAATAATTGGTGTTTGTGATTTCTCAGGAAAAGTGCGTAAGTGAGTGGAGTGAAAGTAGTCAGCTTGGATCATGATACTATATGGAGTGAATTACAAGATCGCCAAGGTAGAGCGAGCCATATAATGCTGTTCAATGTTCCTGAGAGGGGTGACGACGCCAGGGATATTTCATCGATTTGGAACTTGCTGACCGACGATCCTCCAGTGGTCAGCCATTTTACGAAATTAGGCAGGAGCAACGCTAAGGGTGCTCGTGCTATGAAGATTACATTGTCTTCAGAAAGTACAGTACTTTCTCTACTGCGCAACCGCCAAAAATTAAAGGGAAAAACATCTATATGAATCTGTAGTTAATCCCTTAAACAAAAATAGATAGGTACAAAAAAAGGTTAAAAACAAAAGTTGTAGGGTTTTATCTCTATTATGTTTTGCACATGTCAAAATGGGCAAATGACAGGTGCCAACTGTCATAATGACAGCACTTGCATTTTTTTTTAATAGAACACCCTGTATATTTTCAGCTAGAATGATAGATTTTTTTCTTGTAATTTCAAATATACTATATAATATGCTGATATTTGGTTCAGCTGTTTCTGCGCTATTTTATTTTAAAATTGCATTGAACAATCTTCATCATTAATATAAGAAACCAGGAACAGACCTAGTTTAGGGTTATGTAAATGCATTTTTTAACTTGAAAAGCGTAGAAACAGCTAAACCAAATATCAACATATATCATATATTTGAAATTAGAAGAAAAAAATCTATCATCCTAGCTAAAAACATACAGGGTGTTCCATTTAAAAAAATGCAAGTGCTGTCATTATGACAGTTGGAACCTGTCATTTGCCCATTTTGACATGTAGATCTCGCCGTCCATACGTGATTTTCTTGTAACAATTGTTTTCATTGAATAAAAGGCATTTATTATTATTATTATTATTATAATAGAGATAAAACCCTACAACTTTTGTATCCATCTTTTTTTTGTATTTTCTTTTGTTTAAGTTGTAGGAGCGGCACTCATTATAAAGGAACAGATCCTGTACATACAAAATATAATACATAGGTATACCATAATGAAATCCTAGATAAAATTCCAGATAGGTATATTAGGAAAAATTGTAATTAACAATAAACAAGTATATAGGTATATGTTCTAATTATTAAAAGACAACATTCTATCGGTCTACTTAGTATGCATCACTTTTAAAGTATTTCAATTTTCACTGGCAAGTGAATAGAAAATTCATCATAAAATATGGTGCAAGTTCCTATTTCTACTCTGATATTTGTGATGCTATTGTTTCAGAGAATTTATCAGCTGAAATTTTGTAAATTACCTAAACTACTATTGCTGTCAACCAATTCGAACCACCAAAAAAATCTTCATTGTCATGATATAATGGCGCTTCACCAACAGTAACGGGCGTTAAAATTAAAACCCATCAGAGTTAAAAAGAGCAGAACAAATGTGGGAGAATTTTATGCTGGGAAAATTGTTGGTAAATATTGCCTCAAAAAATACGTTTTTCGGATGATCGATCCGTCGCTCTTGACAGTACGGTTTACCAGCTTTTTTATTTTTACTCGCCCACTTTTACTACAATTTGGCGAATCTAGTTTTTATACCAGTTAAATGGGTTTTTGTTTGCAAAAAGTCTCGAATTAATTAGATTTTACCAGGATAGGGGAATTTCAATCGGCATTTGAAATAACAGGGTGACCCGAACTCGATGGCACATCAGGAAAATTTGAAGAATTAATAAAGGTTGTCATCTGAAATTCGGGCTACGCTCATAGTTTGCCTAATTTTCCTGATATAATAGTTCCGCGCATGTGCTGATTTGAACATTGATAATTCATAGACGAAAAGTCCCCAAGAGTGAATTAAAAAAATGTATATTTATATGTAATACATAAATAAACAGATGGCTTCCGGCAGCATATTTAAACCATCAAAAAGCATAGTCTTTGAAAGCCATGTGGCTCAGAATTTTGAAAATTTTTTCAGCACTTTCAAAATTTATCTAAAAGCATCAGGCTTTGATAAAAAGGATGGCGAAACAAAAATTGCTATGTTTCTCAACCTTGCTGGAGAGGAGGCCCAAGATGTGTTTGTAACGATGAAGCTGAGTGGAACAGAAAGACAAGATTTTGATAATGTTATAAAGGCATTTGAACATTATTGCAAACCCATAGAAAATGAGACCTAGGACAGGTACAAGTTTTTCATAAGAGTTCAACAGGAGGACGAGGATTTTGACCATTTAACTGAAATAAAAATGTTGTCATAAAACTGCAATTTTGCTGATTTATATGAGATACCGATATTGTGAGTGGAGTTAGGGATAGTTCATTACAAGAAAGGCTTTTGAGACTCACAAATTTAACATTGGAACAAGCAGAATCCGATTGTAGAGCTGCGGAGGCCAGTAAACTGCAGATAAAAAGTCTCAGAAATAACACTAATCATGTGGATTCATTAAGAGATCGAAGCAATAAAGGTAGTGGTGGTTCTCGTAGTAAGTTATTACCTACTTCATATGAGTGCTTTAAATGTGGCTCGAAAGATGGAACAAGAAGCTGTCCTGCGTTTGGCAAAATTTGTTCCAGATGTGGAAAATTGATATATGCAGTCGGATGTAGATACCCAAGGAAAAATGGTAATGCTGCATCGAAAGGAAATAAGTGGAAAGAGGTTCATGAATTGGAGGGAAATATGTTAGATTCAGCCAGCGACAACTCGGAACCATATATTGATTCTGTGGCAATAAATAATGTAAGTACTAGTCAGAAAAGAAGTGTCTGGACAGTCGATGTACTGATAAATAATTATTTCATTACATTTAAAATTGACTTAGGTGCCAGTTGAAATTGTTTGCCTTTAAAATTTATTAAAAAACTAAAGTTAGAGCACATGCTGGTGAATGATTTTGTGTTACTTAACTCGTATGGCAATAAAGTTGAAGCTTTGGGATATATTATATCAGATTGTGTCATAAAACAATGTAGCTATAAGGTTGAGTTTATAGTAAAAAAATGTTCCAACAGTGTGCCAATTTAATAAGGTTTAAACACATGTTCTAAAACTGGACTTATTAAAAAAGTTGATGCTATCAGAAGTGAATCATGCAAGGAAAGGCAAGAATTCTTCCAAAAGTATGCAAAACAATTTGAAGGTATAGGTAAGGTTCCTTATAAGTACAAAATTGTATTACATAAAAATGCTCAGACTGTCAGCAGTGGTTGTGGGACCCTCCCCCAATGCTTTGAAATCTAAATTAAAAAAAAAACGTTAAGGGATTTAGAAAAGAGGGAAATAATATCTAAAGTTGAAGTACCTACGGAGTGGGTAAATACCATTGTGATTGTTGAAAAACCAGCGGGTGTCCTTCGTATTTGTTTGGATCCTGTGCACTTGAATAAATGGGTTTGTTTGGATCAGTTTCCAATACCAACTGTTGATGAGCTGGCACAAAAGTTAATTTTGGATTTGAAAGAAGGGTTTCATCATGTTCCTCTTAACAGTCAAAGCAGAAAGTTGTGTACCTTTATAATACCCTTCGGAAAATATTGTTTTAGTAGGTTACCTTTTGGTTTGAATGTGAGTCCGGAGGTTTTTCAGAGAAAGAATCAAAACATATTTGGAGAGCGTAAAATTCAATAAATCAAAAGTTCAATATAAAGTAAAGGAAGTCAATTACATTGGCCAGGTTTTCTCAGCAGAAGGTGTAAGACCAGAACCTGAATATATAAAAGCAGTTTTAATGTTGGATGAACCCAAAAATAAAAAGGAAATATTAAGAGTACTTAGGTATTTTTAACTAACATGCTAAACAAAACAAACACTACAAATAAGGATGTTTTATGTATTATTTCTGGAGTTGTTGAACTTCTTCTGGATCAGAAACAGGGGATACGAACTGCTCTTGAACTGAGATTACTCAAAGCATCCAAGCCAAAAATTAACGAATTGATGCATTGGAGTCAAAAATTATTCAGCTTCAGGAAGAGATCTCCTCCATCAAAGTGGTCGGAGATGCCACTATTGCTAATGCAGACCCCCCGAGCCAGTCATCGGACCAAAGTTTTGATATGTTTGCAGTAGTACAGGAGACTAGGTCGAAAAACTTGATGATTTTCAATATAGTTGAAAACACTTCAAATGACACTAACGTAAGAGTAAATCATGATAAAACGCATATTAGTGATTTACTGAATCGATTGGAGGCCCAACAGGTTGGTGAGTACAAGGATGTGCGTGTGGGTAAGTCAGGTGATCGCCCAAGACCTATTAAAGTAATTTTTCCCGATGCTCATGCTGTCTCACAATGTGTCAGATCGAAATATAAAATCAGGGAAAGTAATATCAAGATTAAACCTGATCTTACTGTGATGCAGAGGGGTCATTTGAAATCATTATTCGAAGAACTAGATTGCAGGAAGAATGACGGTGAGAATAATATAGGACTCAGATACCGAAATAGTAATCCTTATATTGCCAAAGTATCTATTTCCAATATTTTATCAAAAAACGCTCACTAGCTCCATTGAGATTATATTATCAAAACGTTGGTGGCATGAATACAAAAATTAAAGACTTAAAACTAGCAATTCCACTCTGTGATTATGATGTAATTATATTGACTGAGAGCTTGAATGGTAAGGTGGCTGATGCTGATGAAATTTGTGTTAAAGGCTTCACCTCATATCGTGGGGATAGGACAGAGTTAACTAGTGATAAGAAAAAAGGAGGGGGAGTCATTATTTTTGTAAAGAAAAATCTCTGCTCTAGGTTAATTAAAACAAATTACAATTTAGTTGAACATCTCTTCATATTTATCAAACAAGGCTCCACTCAACTAATTGTTGGCAGAGTAGGTTTCAGGTGGAGGAAGTCTACACAGACTTCTCCAAGGCGTTTGACAGGGTGAATCATAACCTACTTGTGGCCAAACTTCGAGCTATTGGTTTTGGTGAAAGAACTGTGGAATGGTTCCAGAGTATGCTGACAGGGAGAACTCAGAAGGTTAAGATCGGAAATTTCGAATCTGGTGGTATTGATGTAACCTCTGGAGTGCCACAGGGTGGCCACTGTGCCCCAATATTATTTAACTTGTTTCTCTGTGATATTGAAAATTATATTGAAAACTCTGCCTATTTGCTCTATGCTGACGATTTCAAATTGTATAGAATTGTAGATAACGACAGTGACTCAAAATTACTTCAAGAGTCGTTAACATCATTTGCAAGATGGTCAGAACTTAATGGACTATCCCTAAATGCTTCTAAGTGCACTTCTATAAGCTTTTTTAAGCACAAGAAAAAACATGAGACTAGGTACAAAATCGGGGATCAAGAGTTGAATGTCGTAAACTCAATTAAAGACCTAGGGATATATTTCGATTCTGAAATCACTTTTAAAGATTACATCAAGTATATAGTGGGTAAAGCGTTTCAGATGTTGGGCTTCATTTTCAGAGTTGGTAGGGATTTATCTGTGAACTCACTCCATTTACTGTACTGCTCTCTTGTGAGATCTCATTTAGAATATGCTTCAGTTGTTTGGTCACCATTTTATAACATCTATAAGGACCAACTTGAGAAAGTTTAAAACAAGTTTATAAAATACTGTGCCTATAAACTTGATATGACAGATAGACTAGAAGATGTCCAACTTCATCCTCATCACTTGAAAACAGAAGAGCACTTTCCAACTTGTATTTCATTTATAAACTCATTAAAAGTTACATGGACTGTCCGTATCTTCTCAGTAAAGTCTTTCTGAAAGTACCATGCCGACCTCTTAGAAGTAGTGAGGTTTTTTATGTACCTGTTCATAGAACTAATTATGGGGGTCATTCTCCTCTCGCCCGTGGTCTTGCTCTATTAAATGCTCACCCTGCGATTGATCCTTTTGGAGGCTCACTTGGTAGATACCGTCCCAATATTTTACGGTCCAAATTGTGATATTGTGCTATTATTTGGTTTGAACATAGATGATTTATTATTGTTATTCTAGTTATAATGACTATTGTTATCTTTATTTTGAAATGTATATTTATAAATGGGGCATCCCGTATAATACTTTAAATAAATAAATAAATAAATAAACTATTTATCCAAGTATTTACCAAAACATTCAGACCTACTATCTCCATTGCGCGTTCTCATAAAAAATAATGTTGAATGGATATGGACAAAAGATAACTCCAAAAAATTTAATGAAATAAAAGTCATAATCTCTGATATTCCGGTTCTTAAAATTTTTGATCCTAAATTACCCATTTAAATCCAAACAGATGCTTGTCAGAGTGGCATTGGTGGTTGCCTTATGCTAGAAGGAAAACCAATGGCATTCTGCTCACGTAGTCTAACAGATACAGAGAGCAGGTGGGCACAAATTGAGAAGGAATAATCAGCCGTTTCATTTAGCCTACAAAGGTTCCATCAATTTGTACATGGACAAAAAAAAGTGGTTAAGTCTGACCACAAACCGTGTCTCAATCACCAAAAAAGATATAAACAAAGTGTCTGCTAGACTACAGAGATTAAAATTAAAAATGCTTGAATACAATTTTGAAATTCAATACTTACCTGGGAAACTTATGTATATTGCTGATCTTATCTCAAAACCCAAGTAAAAGATGATGAAGAAATGAAAGAAGTTGTGCATTCTGTTGAAATTGACTTGCCTATATCTGAGCAAAGGTTACATGAGTTGAGGTCTGTTACAAAGAAGGATCCTATTTTGACACAAGTAATCAAATTTTGCCAAACATCATGGTCTATTAGGTTATATGAAGCCTGAATTGAGGAAATACTTTAATATTAGAGAAATTTGCATGCTAGTCAAGGTATGCTTTTGAACGATTATAAGCTGGTTCTTCCTAGAAAGCTTAGGGTACAAATGTTGAATAAATTGCATGTAGGTCACTTCGGGCTAGAAAAATCTAAAGCTAGGGCCAGGAAAATTTTTAACTGGCTAGGAATGTCTGTTGACATTCGAAACTTTGTCTCAAAATGCAAAACTTGTTTGAAATACAGTAGAAGTGTACCAAAAAAGCCACTTATTCAACATGAACGGTCCGATGTGCTTTTTGAAAAGGTTGGTGCAGATATTTCAACTCATGGAAATATTATTTAACAATTATGGATTTTTTTAGCTGTTGGGTTGAACTTGTTCCTATAGATTATAAGACCGTCGATGAAGTAATTAGTTAACTTAAAGGTATATTTGCAACTCATGGGATACCATTTAGGCTCATTTCTGATAATCAACCATTCAATAGCATAAAATTTAGAGATTTTGTTCAATCTGGGGACATAAAACTTATATCGTCTATCCTTGGATATCCAAAATCTAATGGATTATCCGAAAAAGCTGTGCAAATTTCTGATAATGACTTATATAAAGCTCTATTAGAATACAGAACATCTCCCTTAACTAGACTTGATGTTTCTCCAGCCGAGCTACTTTTTAATAGGTTATTAGGTACAAACCTACCAGTCTCAACTAAAATACTTACTGAACGCCCATCTATTGATCATATAAAATTAAACAAAAAAGATTAGGAGCAAAATCTTATTATGATAGGAGCGCTCATAAAAGACCTACCTTTTCAGAAGGGAAAAATGTTCTGATGGACAATCAGTGGGTACCAGGTATTGTTGTACAAAATCATGAGACACCTAGATCATATCTTGTTAAAGAAAATGCAGAAAGTCATTAGAAGAAACTCCTCATTTTTAAGAACAAATCCAAATGATGTAGTTTTAAGTAGGCAAATAGTTGATCCTTGGGAAAATAGTGTTGCGGTTCCAAAATCACAAGTACCAACTACGCGACAACAACTGTTACTCCAGTGAAACTAATAATGTTAACACATTGAGCCCAAAGAGTAGCGAAAGTAATGTTAAAACTCGATCAAGACGCACAGTAATGAATCCTGTTAAATTTAGGAAATAGGTTTTAGTTCAACACAATGATGTATTTTGGGTTTTACTTTGTGTTTGCCTTATGAATTTATTTTTTTTTAGTTAGTATTGGAGACGTAAAAGGGGAGATGTAACATAAACCATAAGTATAATCTATTCACAATTCGAAGTTTGAACTAAAGGTACGATATATCACCTTTCAGTTGGTAGTTGATAGGGATTTTATTTTTATTACCTGCATAAGTTGGTGAACATTTTTATGTCTTTGGGAGGTTATGATGACAAACTGAAAAATAGCAGAGCTGGACTCAAGCATATTTTTATACTTTGAATAAGAATACGATATTTCAACGGTATATCACCTATTCAAAATATAGAAATATGCTTAAGTCCTGCTCTGCTATTTTTCAGTTTGTCATCAAAATGTACTGTCAGAATATGACACATGCATAACCTCCCAAAGACATGTGAAAATGTTTACCAACTTATGCAGGTAATAAAAATAAAATCCGAATCAACAACCAACTGAAAGGTGATAAATCTACCTTTACCTTTGGACTTCGGATTGTGAATAGATTATAAGTATCAATTATTATGAGGAATCATCCCCTACATATGCCACTAGACGTCGTTGATTGGATCAGACCTATTTGGAAACATTTATCCTTTTTCTTACCACTTCTAGTATCCTAGCTTACGACAGTTGGCAGAGGGGATGACATGTCAGTTACAACGGTGCATCACTGTAGACTTGTTAATTAATAAACACGTTTAATAAAATAACTAATGTTTTTTTATTGAGCACGAAAACTATATAATTATTGAAAACATAGGTAACAATCCCTTCACAATTTTAAAGACCTCAATCATTATCCTTTATATAAGAAACCCCTCCTCATTAATGGACCCAACTAACGTGCTTACTGACTTCCATTATCCTTGCGCGTCAATTGAGAAGCTTAAATTATCTCTATACTATAGATCAAAGAAAATTATTGTGAATGCACGTGCTTTTGTAAAGAAATTTTCATAATAACAACTATAATAGGGAACAAAGAAAACGCCCAAAAAATAGGTAAATCTACGTTTTACGCAATAGCACGATTGTTTTGAAAGAATAAAGAAGCAGCTTGAAGAACAAAGAGCGATTGAACCTGGTTGACCTAGTGACTTCGAGGGCGGACCAATCGCGTTCAGCGATCTACTGAAAGCCACAACGGGCGATTGTCAGAGTTTCTTGTTATTCTAACGCGATGAGCGACTTTTCTTTGTTATTAAAATTGGTACAGTTGAAGAATGAACAAAAAAAAAACAATAGATCGGTTGTTGAGCTTAGATGTCCTCTTTGGCCTTTAGCATCGTTTGTTATTAATTGAGCTTTTTTGTTAGAGGCATGCTCATTGATAAAATACATACAAATCCGCATCAAGTTATGGATTAGTTTCATTTCACATCACATTTTGTACTTCATAGTACAACTAAATAAAAATATTAGAGAAATAAAAATCACCAGAC